CGGGATCCTCGCGAGAGAGATTCGAGCGACGTATCCAGGTTTCCTCCCGTTTGTGCCGCGTGTTGAAAGTCTGCTCGCGTTTTTTTCTTTTTTTTTTTTCTTTTTTTTCGGCGGACGTTTTTTCGCCGACCGGCGGCCCCTCCCATTAAATTCCACCGCCGGATAACGTATCACCGCCGCTCATTATTTTTCTCTTGACGCAGTTTCAACGAAAGCCCTGGCAGGCGCCAAGACCCTCGGAGGATTTTTGTACAGCGCCGTGAATAAGGCTGGAAAAACCGTGGTCGAGGCTGGGGCAAAGATCAAGAAGACCGTCGAGGAGAACGTGAGTAATACCAACTTTTTTTTCTTAATATTACTTTCTCTTTTAATATTATCTCTGTTTCGAAAGTTGTTATTATTAGAAAACGTTAATAATTTATATTATTGTTGGGGTTAAGAATTTTTTATTTAAAAAAGTGGTGAGGTGAATTTTTTTTTTTTTGATTCATTTACGCGAATATGTAATTTTTGGATCTATTTTGGATCTTTTATTTATTCCATTGGGGGAATTGTTAAAAACATGATAAATTAATTATAGAAGATAAAAAAAAATGTTTATTTTAAAAGATAAAAGATAGTTCATTGTACGCGAAGTGTATCATATGATAGGATCGTAACCGAGCGAGATTTTGATAAATTTAATGTTATTGATTTTCGATGACAAGTGCCGGAAATATAAAAAAGTTTATCGCAAAATTTTACATTTTATAATTTTATCGCATTTTGAGAAAATCCTTTAAGCCCGATATTCGCGAAACTGGATCGAGCAAAACAAGAAGCGATAAAAAATTCCGCATTGCCCCCTCACCGACCCCCTTCCTCGTCGTTGAAATTAATCGAATGGAAAAAAGAAAAAGAAAAAAAAGAAGAAAACAAAAGAAGTAAAGAAAAAAAAAATCTCTATTCTTGTTTTAAAAAAATGCAAATCGACTTTTTATCAATTTTATGTTCATGTTGTTGAAACGAGTAACGACGTTTACCTTCCCGCACTTTTTTTTCAAATAAATTTTTCCGATAATTGCATTTACAGTTTCATTGCAGCGAAAAATCATCCGTTCAGAAAACCAGCTATTTTTCCCTCTGCTTCCCCCCCTCCGCCCTCGATTTGCACTCGGTTTGTATTCAAAATTAATTCACCCGAGTTTTCACGAGCCGCCACGACTAGCCGCCATTGAACCGTGGTAATTGGAAAAAGCGTTTCGTCTTATTTCCGATCTTTGAATAAGTCTTCTTCAGAATAGAAAATAATTTCCGTTAAGGTGTTGGAGGCAAAGAAACCGTTCCTTTTTTTTTTTTTCCACCCCCTTCTTCTGCATTGTGAAAAATTGTAAACGCCGTTAAAACGTATATTGGTATTATATAAGAATGCCGATCAAGGTTTTGCAACGTAAATTAATCCATTGTCGACGAATCGAAAAAAATGAGAGAAAAATCGCACGATCAATCGGCTCTAGAAAATTTATCTATAAAAAATATGGCGCGTCTTGTAATGAAATTAACTTAATTAATTTCTTGGTGCATGGTTCGGCTACGATAATAATCACATTAATATCAATTTATTACTCTACGCGACCAATTACACTACGCGTGGCTTAATATATGCGAAGATAAGGGGGAATAAGAGGCGGTTGCGATGATTTAATCGCGCGAGAATCGATATCAAGGGAAGCTTCCAATTTAATTCCAAAAAGAGAAAAGCTTAAAAAAAAAAAAAAACAAAAGAAAATCGGATGGATCGAACTTATCAAAAAGCGAGCGAAAATTAATATAAACGAATGCAAGAAAAAATTTTTAGACTGTGAGATTTCAAAAAATTAATATGGAATTTTGAACGATGGAAATGAAAAAAATGTGGATAGAAATTTTTCAATTAAAACGTTCGTTCATCGTTCCTGATTTATTATTTTCATATAATGCATCGACGATGCGTAATCATTCGAGACGAATTTTATTCACGCGTGTATGATGTATGTACACGTGTTTCGTAGAATATCGTTGTCGTTTAAGAAACGAAGACACTTCGTTCAGGAAGGAAATAATCGAACACATCTCTAAAGTGCTTCTTTTCAGTCTTACTTGCCTTTATCCTCTTACTAGTTCGACGAATTTTTCCACGTTACACGCGTTTCTCAACTTTATATCGCGATTTCTATTATCCGATTCTATCGACTCGTTCGCACGAGCGCACAGTATTTTAAACGGGATTCTTCGAATCGTTGCAACTTCGTAACGCGTTCTGGATGGATTTAATTTGTTTTCAAAAACGCCTAGCGTGTTTGAAGAGGCGTCTTTTCACATCGTTGTTTTTTTTTTCAACGATACCAGGCGCATACCAGGCGAGAAGAAAAATCGAAAATGAAGAAAATCAAGATCGAAACGACGATTATTTTATGATTTCTTTCCGATTTCTGACGTTTTTTGAACTGCTTTCAATATTACGTTCAAACGTATTCGAAATTATAGGAAGCTCGGGTATGTAATTTGTTAGTTTATTAATTTTGTTTCTTAATTTTCGAATAATAATAATAATGTCTCTTTTTGTTCTTTATCGACGACGAAGAAAAGGAAGATCGTTTCTTTTATGCGAATTTTCCAAATGATTTTCCACGCGAATATCTCTGTCTCTCGAAATTTACAAAAGCGCGATTTCGTATTCAAGATCGATCCATGTATCTCGATTGAATAATAAAAAATTTCGCGCGTATTTATACAACATTTTCATGGATGCTCCATTTTCAATCTTGGTATGTTGATTTTGCGCGAGATAAATTGGATTACTACGTGAAGGACTCTCTTTGACGAAAATTACTATCAATAATACGGAGACCATAAAATGTATGGCATCGTTTCAAAAGGAAAAACCGATTTTTTAAAACTGAATAGCGCAATGATAAAATGGATGCGCGTAATCATGAACGGAAACTTATTATCATTGTTGCACGATAAAAGATCGATTATTAATTAAAATTTTTACGTTTTTATGCACACTATTATTTCGTCGTTTGAAATCACAATTTAATTTCGAAATTGCAAGGCATTAAATAAAAATATGTATCGATAATTCTATATATTTCGTATAATTACAAATTTTACTCCTCCATATAATATAAAAGCAATTGCTGCTTCAATTCGTTGATTCGCACATCTCATTAAAATCCGTGCATAGTTATTAGAAATCCGCTAAAGTGGTTGGATACTTAAGACCAGCCGCGTATACAGGATACGAATGCTCGAAAGCAATTTATTCGATCCGTGGTCGATCAACCAGTGATTCACACCGACGTATCGAAACGATTGGTTCCAGCAATCTCGTGGAGAAGGATCGACCTTGATTTGCACGCGTGTAGTGCACACACGTACTGCACGGGGCTCGATCCGCTGACAACTGTTAAAATGTAGGTCGACGAAATTTATCAATCGCAACCCCCCTCGCTTTTACTTTTAGAACGAGTTTAAAAACTTTTTCTTTCGTTCCTGACTGACTCGTCAAAAATCCGAAGAACGACAAAGAGAACGTAGAAAGAGAGAAAAAATAGAAACGTTATTAATGAATCTGCAGGAATTCAATTTCAGCTTATCACAAACTCGTTACAAATCCCCCACGAGATGTTTCGTGTTTCGTTACCCAAGCTCGAGCAATCTTAAACGTTTTCGAAACGCTTTTGATTGCAATTCAGGTGACGTGCAATTTCTCAAGGAAATCTTGAAAGCTTTGATTGTCTGATATATCCAGTTAGTGACATCGTTCGACATCGAGTTCCTCGATCGTTCGTAAAATTTATTAACGAGAATTTTTTAACAAGAATAAATTACATCGAGTCATTTTCAAACGGTACATTTCAATTTTCCATCCAGCTATTATCGGCCAATTTCGAATACATCGTTATCGTTTCGAAAACGTAGCTCGTTAACGAATATATACGATTGTGGAGTAATTATTAAACCGGTCAGGATAACGCAATGCAAATGGAAATTAGATTTGCATCGTGGACGCGTGCAGGCAAATTTCGTGTCACTTTCGTTCGAACGAATCACATTTCCACTATCGAGGGGGATGGACCGGTGATCCGTCTACCGTATAATTCAGTTACAGAAATGCTTGACACGCGAAAGAGAGAGATTTCCGAAGCGCAGAAAAATTTAAAAAAAAAAAAAAAAAAAAAAAGAACTTCACGAAGATTCTGAATCATTCCATTTTTCCTTAAGAACGAAACTTTTTTCTCCCAGAGCATCAATATCGAATCCTCTCCAGCCTCCTCTGCTTTTTGTCTCGAAAACTTGACTACTTTTACTTCCCGTCAATGGGGATAAAAAGAGCTTTCCTAACGCGTCCCCCACGACTGCGAGGCAAGAAACCTCCGATGAAAAAGACGCGATACGATTAAACGATCCGATTGGTTGACAAGTGTCATCCCTAATAACGTCCACCCATATATATATATGCATCGCATTATCGGCCAACATCATGTCCGGCGTTTGCCCGATGATATATGACCAACGACCTGGTAAAATCTGTCGAGCAGCAAACAGGCCGGGTAAAGGGAGGGGTCGATTAATGCAGAGCAATACTTTTCACGCGGTGTCAGATCACGCGGAAGCCTTCTTCCAGCCAAATGGCGCCCTATAATTCCATCGCGAGGCGGATATTAAATTCCATGAATTATTAATCCGGATCTTGATAAATCCTTGTAAATCCACAGAAAGGGAAATATCGTTTAACGATATCGGGAAAAACAAACAAATACATCTCGTCGTCACGTGTATCTTTTCCATTTTCTTGAGCGGCAACTGCGAAAGCTAAGGTTAAAATTACTTTCGGTATTTCGGTTAATTGGTTATCGAAGGGGAGAATCGCGTGAGCACGTCAGGCTCTGTCGTTCGTGGCGATAAGACGCGTGTAACACACGCGTGGGACAAATTGAAAAGCAAGGATCAATTCTGAACCTGAGCGAAAATTCACGGGGTGTTACACGAAATGTAGATAGGTGTGTTGATTTAGCCGTTGTTAGACGTTAATTAATATTAAACTTTCAATATCGATCGGTAATGAACGCATCCCTAAATACCCCTGTTAAATACCCGATAATTTTTACACCTTTTGAATCGTGACTGGTTAACTACGTTACAAGATCACGTGACAGTTATCGGGGTAGTTATCTTTGCGATTTCATTCAATTTCTCGGTAAAATATGCGAACGATCTTTCCTGTGATATTTAGAGCTATTTCCGTCGAAAGGATCTGATTACAATTATTACAATTCAATTACAAAAATTGTAATTATAATAATTCTTTAAGATAAGATTATTATCATTATTTTCATCATTGATTAGAATTTCTCGAATAAAATATGCGAACGATCCTTCCTAGGATAGTATTCAGTGCTATTTCCGTCGAAAGAATTTGATTACAATTATTAGAATTCAATTACAATAACTCTTAA